CGTTGGCAACTATTCTCATCGTCGATTAGTTGCTTTTCGATTCGTTGCCGCCGCTCTGCTCCTCCGTTCTCCTCCCCGCTGGTGCTGTCTGCAGCGGTCTGTGTCCCTTTGAATCGCCGCTGTTCTCCCCGTCTGTATCAGCAGAGGCAGTGGGGACACAGACCACTGCAGCCGGCACTAGCAGGGAGGAGAGACTGCTGTGGCTGCATTCCCCCGCACCTCCGCTGCTGCCAGGGTCCTTCTCTGCCCTCCGTGCCTCTGCTGCCGCCCCGTGTCTTCTCTGCCCACCGTGCCTCCTCTGCCCCAGGCCGTTCCTCCTCAGCCTCGCCCCATTCCTCCTCTTCCCTGCCCCGTTCCTTCTCTGCCCGCCCCCATGCCTCCGCTGCCACCACATTCCTCCTCTGCATTTAGATGCTGGGAGCCATACCCAGCCTGCTATTGGATATATTAAAATGCAATAGCCAATAGCAGGCTGGCTATTGCATCTGCCCACTGCCTGCTGTCAATCAGCAGGGGAGGACCTGATGAAGAACTTTCTTCTTCAGGTCCCTCCTCTGCTGATTGACAGCAGGCAGTGGGCCGGTGCAATAGTCAGCCTGCTCTTGGCTATTGCAATTTGAACTATCCAATAGCAGGCTGGCTAGTGCTCTCAGCAATAAAGTTAAAAAAAATTTTAAAAAATTATGTTAAATAAATAAAAATTACAAAAACAAAAAAAGTTGAAAAAGTTAAATAAATAAAAATTAAAAATGCAAACAAATTTTAAAAAATGAAGTTAAATAAACTAAAATTAAAAATAGAAATATAATTTTTTATTGTGTTATTTTAAATAAAAGGTTGGTTATTTTATTATATTGGCTTAGAGTTTTACAATTCACATTATTTTAAATCCATGGAACTAATTAAAATGTCTAATATAATACATACAATTATTAAAACAAAATATATATAAAAGGTGGGAAAAGTAATTTTTTGTTTTGGCCTGACAAATTTTGCTGCAGGAGGTTCGATTAATTTCAATGGATCCCAAATGCACCTCCCGTCCTCACTGTGATCGCCTGACACTGGAACGCGCGGTACTGCAAAGCCCTGCGTTCCAGTGCAGTGTGATTTCCAAAAATGTGGATACTGTTATGTTCTCAAGTAAACTTTATGTCTATAACGCTGCATTCGTGTATTTGATTTTAAATAAATGACAGTATTATTATTTTTTTCCATTTTATCTGATTAACCATTTAATCAAAGTTAAGAATCGGCTAACTAATCGATTATGAAAATAATTGTTAGCTGCAGCCCTACCTCCTGCACTCCCTTTGTGGTTCCTGATGTGGAGACCAATAAAGAAGGAGTCTAGGCCTGTAAAACTGTGTGTTGGACAGATAGCTAAAGGCTATGCCAGACTCTTAAGAGTCCTCAGATGCAGTCTAAGCCCCTTCAGTGATGATTTGTTACAGTCTACCTCCTCAATAATGTAAAATACTTTAAAGATGCAGAGTTGCACTCTTCATGATGGCTGAAGCCGGGGTGCAGATTGAATCTCAACTGCCGAGATCTCACTATCATAGCATCCAAATGGTATAAGGCATTGGTAAACAAACTTCCAAAAACCTACCAAAAACTAAAATATCAGGATCTGGCTGACTAACCGTTCAAACAGCATTTTAAAAAGTAAACAAGAATCATTTTGGATCTGACCAAGTCATTTTTTAGAACAAAATTCTTTAAAGATTAGTAGTTCACCAATGTATATGTAAACAAGACATACAGTATATTATGCACAGAATTGTATTTAGCTTCAGTTTCTCTTTCACAATATTGAAGCACAGCTAATGTTGTTGTATGATTAAGCACTGTTATTTTTATTATAATAAATATTATTATTATTATTATTGAAAAGTATATTATGGTAAGATTAAACAGTTTCCAAAAAAGTAATAAAGTCAGTCAGCGATTGTTTTACAGTCAGTTGGTATGCATAAAGCGTGCAAGTTTTTTTGTTCTCTTTTTATTGCCAGGGCACTTGTATGGGCTGTGTTTGCAATGCGTATGCACAAGGTCATTGCTCTTTCTCCGCCTTTTTGTTTCACTCTGAGATCTGTTCTGTAGGACTAGGACAACTCCCTGCCAGTGCTCCTGTCATTTGCTGATCGTCCCTCCTGCCAAGTATCCAGGTACCTTTGGCAGCTACCTGGTGGGGTGTGCAAGTCCAGGATGTTTAAATACACCTCTCCATGGCAGGTGCTGTGCAGCAGTTTGGAGAAGAGAGAGCAGGTAAGTGCAAAGGTTGCTGTGATGAGTGCGGTGAATAGCTGTGGACATTCCAGACATGGCAAATATGCGGTTATAGCCATATTATAAATGACTGCTATGGTATACAGAAGCTGAGATGACATATTGCCACACAAGCATTAACTTTTATGTAGTTACCTAGCTTAGGCTTCTAACATAAGGTTCACTTTGTCACTTGTAGATTCAAACATGGCACCACAGCGCTGCCAGATAGGAGGTGTTCGAACCTGGCAATATAGCTTTGGAAAACCTGGCAGTTTTTGAGAAATGTAAAGTGTAGCCAACATGTATTTCTATGTTTTGGATAGTATATAAAAGGGTTAGAACCTCTCGTATTTTTTTTTACTCTCTGTGTGTCCAGTGGGATACTTCTGGTGGCCATTGTTAGTGGGAATTAATCCAAACAATTGCCTTGTCAGAAGAACAGGATAGGAGGGGAAATTGTTCAAGTGACAACTGTCTAAAAGATTATTTACTTCCTGTTGTGTCTCCAAAACAGCAAGTGGAGTAAAATCTCCACAATGAGACACAAAATGCACAGTAGCTGGTATGCGGTGCCCGCAATGTGTAGTATTTTTTTTAGAACTTTACTAAAATTTCACAAGTGACATATCATTCAGTTCTACGGGCACAGAGGGGTGTGTGGCGTTTGTTCTATGTCGCATCCCGCTGCGCTGTAAAATGGCATGTCGTCCTTTTTTCAGCACACACCACTGCCTTATCACTGCAACACGGTGGTGTGAAAGGTGTCAATCTGTGACAAGGCAAATTGCCTTGTCTTGCGTTGGGGCTGCACTGGAAGCAACAGCCAGTGCAGCCCCAACGCATGTGTAAATGGACCCGTAACCTTGCCCTGTTCAATCCAAATGTGAAAATATAAACTTAGTTTTTCTAGCACTGTAAAAAAAGAACAAGTGCAGCAGTTTTATGACATCTAACATTGTAGTCTGTGTTCTACTAAGCAAAGCAAACACTCCACCATAAATAAATGGATCATGTTTTATGATACACTTTGACAGCTGAATCTCCGATACTAAGAAATAGCCATACGAGTACATGCATATTTTAGGGTTGAAGCCACATAAACAGCAAGTGTGGTAAGACAAAAAAGACGTATGGTTTTGATTATTAACATGCACCCAGTCCTAGCATTTGGAAGTTACAGGACATTAGATTCATGCCTCTCCAAATTCAGCTACCTATACGCACCCACATGTTGCACAAACTAACCCACAATCACTATCCTACTCAGCAATGCCTTATTCTTGGCACACCCACATACTTAAGAGTTCTTACCCTGCTATATGACAGCATTTCAGAAGCTTGCAGCCTTCATATTTTACACCGTCTCCGAAGCCTGTTCTCTGAGTCCCTCCTCTGCTATTGGGTGTGACCCTATTATCATCATTGGACTTTGCCTAGTGTTAGAGTAGCTAATCATACAAATCTTTCAGGTTCAGAGTTTAGAGCATGTGCACAGCGCAGGAACTGAAGTGACACACGACTGCAAGGTGAGACAAAGCTAAAGATATAGATATCTATATATATATTTATTTATTTTTGCCCACGCAGTAGCCAGTAACCAGTAAAAGGCAAACAAGAAAACATGTGGCTTAAGGGTCAGAGGAATAGCTTTCAAAAATTGTACAAAACTTTGAGGAGGAATAGTGTCATCAAAGATGCCAGAGGGAAGAGGCAGTTTTGAACTGCACTACACTAAGCTAGGAACATGCTGAGGAATCATTTTCACTATCTAAAGTGTCAAAGTATTTTACAATTTGTATCTACTATCCAAATATTAAAAGTATGTTAAAAGAAACATGCATGCACTTCTT